GAAAATGCGTAATGCGTGATCGATGCTTTAGATCATGTTTGGTGAAGGATAGCGAAATAAAAATGCAAAGATTCATTTTCATTAATTTATTAATCAGAATTAGAAACTTTCAAAATCCTGACACTATTTTCCCTTTAGCTTTTTCTCAATTTAATGTAGCAATCTAAATAACTCTAAAACGAACTTCTATCAAATTTTGCAACAGTGACGTTAATAGAAATTGGGACATTTATTATATAAATCGAAAATTTGTAGGAGCAAGGGAATTTTGGTCAATTCGTGAAGAAACAACAATAAGATTCTATTATTGAAACGGTTTATTAATACACGAGCCGTTGTAGTGCTTACAATATGTATTGCTTTACTGACTCGAATTCATTAACCAGTCGATCGAGGTGTATCTCTTTTATACGGTGAAACGATATACACGCATCGGCGACCACTCTCGCACGTTTTGTTTCCCGATCGAAAAACAAACAATAAAATATTCAAGGAACATTTAATACTTATCTTTATAAATATGATTCCCTTCGACTCGAAACTGTACGTGTGTGTGATCCACGCTTCGATCAGCGTGGACCGATTCGATTAATTATCTATATCGTGTTTTCTCTGTGTATATGAATACAATTTTAAACTTGAAAATGCATGTAGAAACAATAATTAGGAAGGACGATGCTCTCAATGATTATTCGCTTATAGATCTACCGCGCTGAATGTGTTTCTGTGCCTGTCGAAGTGTTAGGTAATACAACTATAATCATAATAATAATCATAATACAATAATAATAATCGGTTTATAGATATTCAAATACAAGTAGCTATGTTATTCGATAATTGTATATGTACAATGCAATGGAGCTGCCGTAGCTGGTATCACCGAGAGCCGCAAGATTCTTCGTATTTTTATTACCGATCAATCTACACATCATTAATATTGGACTTAACTTGTTCACAAGTTTTCAGGAAATTATATAGCATTATTTCACCGATGAAATTTTTAAAAAATGTTTGTGATCTAAAGGCAGCTCTAATTAGAAATTATTGTTGGGAATGTTTGTTTTATTTAATTAATTGAAGAAACAATATCTCATGGCTTTCGGTATGCCCTGACTCGCGGATGGAAGGAATACGATTTATCTTACAAGCTGAATAATGTTGGTGCGTTGACGTAGTGTAGTGCGATTTTATTTTTAACGAGCTTACCGATATAATAAATTCATGCGCTTGTCGCTTTCCTTCTTTCTTTACGCTATTTACTCTGAGATATTACAAACTGGAAACAATCTCCTAATGACTTTTGTGAGTAGAACTTCTGAATTAGGCTTGTTGAGCAGTGTCTAAATAGCAGAGAAACGGAATCGAAATGTTGCGATACATTACTACTGTGTATCACTGATTTTTGCCATTTTCGATTCCTCCGATATTACATAGAAAAGTAGACAGGAATTTTACTTAAGGACGTTCGCGAGGAGCAGTCGTACTCTAGTTAAAATTAATTAAAGTTCACATAATCATTAATGTTTAATTTGTTATTGTGAGTATTCAGTTTACGAGGATATATGAGGGGATAAAAGATATTTAAATCACATTCGGGCCAAGTTCTCACTTGTACTGCTTTCTTCTACTACGAATGCTAATACGTATAAAGAAAACGAGGACTGATACGACGTAGCCATGCTAATGTTAACGGAACAAAATGTTCCAGTCAGTTTTAAGAAAATGAATTTTTAAACGAACGTCCTTAGTAAATTTGGTATCTCGACGCGTTCTTCTGCTTTGAATCCATTATCATCTATCGGTTTTCTGGGATGAGATAAGTCTAGTAGGGATTGTTCGCATACGTAAAAAGTTATTAAACACGCGTCGTACCTCGATAGAAACATGAAAAACAAACCGATATACGCTACACGCATTCTATACGTATCACGCACACGCGGATCGCACCCCTAAAAAGATTCACCCCTAGACGACCGGGCCCCGTGTCTCGCGAAAATCTTCAGTTTTCATCTTTAAACGAGATGGAACTGATTGCTGACGCTGTTTCTTTAATAAACAGCATTGATCTAACACGAATTACTTCAAACTATCCAGTTGACAGTACACCTGTACAATAGATATATACAAAATAATGGATATAAAATCACGCGTTGCTATTAGATTAACGATGTGTACATTATATATATATACATAATGGATAGAAAATCGTGTCCCGCTAGTCTTGCGCATTTACAATAGATATATACAGTATATAGTATATAGTGGTTATATAAAATCACGTTTTGCTTAAGGATGCTGTTTGTACAATGTATATAAAATCACGTTTTCATCATGTTCGATTAACGGATCAGTTTTATTTGTACAATATCTATACAATAATGAATACAAAATCACGTTCTTATTTACATCGAGAGCGAAAATGTTGAGTCTTCTGCTTTTCCTGTTAAAGTCTTCCTTTAGAATAGATAACGCTGTTTCAAAAATTCGGTACGAAAGCAAAAGAATCATAAAAATTGTGCGAGAGAAACGAAGTCCACGAATGGACGAGAAAAGGAAAAGATAAAAAATACTGTTGGGAGAATTGCGGATAGACAAGTATTTCAAAGTCTACTACGCGACGCTTACAATTTCTAATAGTCATTACGAATAACTGTGTTACGCCTCAGTCGTCTAGGGATTAACGAACTAATATATCTTGTATTTTTTCTCTAATTACGAATTACAGTACGGTTTATGGATCTCCTTTATCTCGTTCACCCCTTAGGCCATTCATTGAGACGGCTATGGGAATTTTTTGACGCAAGAGCTTAACGTGCGAAGGGGGTGAGCGCAAGTCATTCTAACTATTATTTATCTTTTGATTAAAAAGAAAATAAATCCAGAAAGTAGAAATTTAATTCTCCTCCTAGAATTCTCGAACGAAATAAAATACATAATGAGAATAATAATCACACGGTTCGTGATCATAATTTTATCAAATTTATTTATTTATTCCATGTTGCACAAAGAACAAATTCTACAAAACAGGCGGACTGCTGTTAGACTTTGGAATTCACGGTCTCTCCTCTTCGCACAGCCCTGCTTTATACGTCTACTTTACGCAGACCGGCATCAAGTCGGTTTCCTGCGAATAGAAATCATCGCACGCTCATCACCTTTTAAATCTAACGTACGATTCGTATTCTATGTTTTACGGTAAAAATTCACTGAATAGATTCATTCAACTACCAGAGACGCTCGACCGAGACAACGTTATCCTGAACCAGGCGCGCGTTCGTTTCTTACAAAAACGCATCTTTGCAACAGTCGTCGGTGAAAAATTTTTATTGTAAAAATTGTATCGAGTCTCCGTTTCAGGCTACGATTACAGTGTGTAAAAACTATAAAACCGTAGTAATGGCATAACGCTCAGAGTGCTTTTCGTTTCAAATTTAAGTGTATCGTCTTACTTTAGTTACAAACGAAAAGTGGCAAGTTTCCGTTCGTTTTATACGTTCAGTTATGGCGCAATATCCAACTAATATCTATAGTTCGCAAAAAATTGGTGAACAAAGCGTTCTTCGAAAAACAAAAGAGAAAATTTTCGAAAAAATAAAACAGGCTTTTAGTCAGGAGAATATGCACTCGTACTTGTTACACTTGATTTGACGAACGACGTGTAACAATGTTTCACAGTTATCACACGCAATGTATAAACGTAGCCCTGGTCGTCAACGACAGAACGGATGACGAATACGCATTTATCGAGATATAAATCGTGCCTCGCGTGTGATTAATCTCGAATCGACAGTAGGTTAATATGGAAACGTTTAAATTGACTCTGAAAAATCTCGTGATCTACTGATCACGCGACGCGAACTTGTCCGTTCATCGGCTATCGTTGAATCCTCACTGGTTATGCAATCTTCCACCGGAAGCCTTCACTTGATTGTTCGCGACTTTAGGTATCGCACCAATGATTTTGACGCGATTCGATTGCTGCTGCGGCTGCTGTTGCTTGTTGTCGCAGAATTGGGGCGGTGGAGCGAACACCAGTTCGTCGCTGTTCCCTGCCGAGGGTCCGGCGTTGAATTCTGGCGGGGGTGGAACGAACAGGTCGTTACTCTGCTCCTCAGCATCTACTTCCATGGGCGGTGGCAATTGGGCGAGGCTCACAGCGTGTCTGGTCAACAGTCCGCTGCCACCGTAGCTAGTCCTCTTCGGGTTGACTTCTTTCTCGGTGTTGGTAACGGAGAGCACGGTCGCATGTTGCTCGTTCGCAAGATTCCTCGCGGTAGTGTCGTCGAAACCAGTAGGCGGGCCCACTGGAACGTCTTGATCGGAGCTGACCCCGCTCGAGCTATTGTCACCGTCCTCGGCGAGAGATTGTTGAGTTTGTTGCAACAGAAAATCGTTCGGGTGGCTCTTCGAGGACTTCAACTGCGTTCGTACCTTCTGTATTTCTTCGACGCTGAATGAGTGAGGCAACGAGCTACTACCGGAAGAACTCGAGCCAGAAGTGTTTGAGTTTCCGGACGTTTCCCTAGTAGATTCCAATTTCTCTCTCGCCGCTGCCTTTTCCAATTCCTTCGCGATCTCCGATTCTGCGTCTTCGTCGGTTTCCTCCTCTCCCTCGTCGTTCTCCGACTCGGAGAGACTGTAATCGGGTTCTGGAATTGGCGGGGCCGTGTTCGACACCGCGTTCCCGGTGTTGTTGTTCGCCATGGAAGCGAGATTCGTGATTGAGGAACTGGTCGTAATTGTTTTCTTCTTTCTCTCTCGGATACCAGCCGTGCTGTGACTTCTGTTCGTCTTCAGCGGTTGAGCATACTGGTTGTTCGTCAATTGATTGTTGTTCACTTGATTACTATTGCTCACGGTGTTATTCACATTCTGTTGATTGGTTATCGGCTTGAACGTTGTATTCGTAGTGCGCAAGCTGTGTGATTTCCTCACGTGACAACGTGCCGTGTGCGTTGGCAGACTTCGGGAACGATATCCAACCGTTTTCATATCCTCCGGCGAGGCGTACAACTTCGCGCTGTTCGACGGCCGGAAGCTAGACATCACGCCGTAGCATCCATCAGCAGTGGCCGCTGCCAGTTCTAAATAAAACAAAAATCCTATAAGTTTTAATTATGACGAGAACCAAGTAGCTTACATTTTGCCACAAGTACGATATGCAAGTTACCTTTGACCTGCTGTATATGAGTCATATTATCGTAAACGGAAGCTGGCGTGACTACGTCCGGCACATTTGCGCCCACGTTCACCTTCACGACCTGCCCGACCGGTGGTGGTGGAGGAGGATGGTTCGGTGGCGGAAGACCGTTTCTACCGTTTAAAGCGTTCACGTCCTCCTGACTTCTGTGCCCTTTCGGCGCCAGGATGGACGACTGGGCTTGGACGTTCAAATCTGGCGTGCTATGGAAATCTCGATGAAGATCGGACCCACCGCCCAGTCCACCAAAGAATCGTACCCTCGAGCTCGACTGCGAACAAACGTACCGAGACTCGTTGGATTTCTTCCACGGCTGAACGTGATCTCACGCTCACAAATACGACAGCCGGGCGCATGTATGTACATAGCTCGCACTACCACACCGTGAAGGTGGAAAAAAAGTTCGCGAAGCGTGAAACGCGATCGGCGATCGAAAATGAGTTTCGGAGATATCAAAGGCGTTCCGGAGAAACGCGAGAGCAGTCGGTCATGTTATTTATAAAGCGTAGTTTCGAGGGGGAAGAGGCGTAAGTATTCCGATTATACACGGGTCATGCAAGAAGCGAAAGCGAGGTAATTAAAATGTTCGTTTCACGGGGATAGATGGATAAATGGATACACATCGTTAAATTCTCTGCATTGGCGTGTTTCATATAAGCTCTGAAGGTGATACCCGATGCCCTTTTCGAGCATCGGATTTTCATTAGCAAATGGGCTTAGTCACCTGGAATCATGCAAGTCACGGGCGCGCTAGAAACAAAGTATTTTCGATCAGTAATATAAGTCGTCCTCGTTGTCTCTCTCGTACCAGGAACGCCCCTTGCCGTGTGCTCGTACTGGCTTGCGAGAAAACTATAACACACATGCGTAAAAAAAACAGCCACCGTCACCTTACCCCGGGGCGAGGAGAAGATATGCTTCGGGGAGTTTTAGCCTCGCTGTAAAAGTCTCTCGAAACTGTCGCGTCGAGCAGCGGGGGTAACGAAGAATGAAAAAGGGTAGCAGTAGTTAATTGGAGGAAAACTCTATAACATGTGTCTACTATAACAGCAAACTAGTTTACTCGGTTTACACAAAGGGAGAATAAAATTGTATTAAATAATTGAGGAATGCAATCTTTAAAGGAAGCACTTTAATGATTCGCTTTCTTACCCTTGCGATAGTCGTGCTGTGGTATCTTGCTACGATTCAAGCTACGATTTTTCTTAAGTAAAGAACAACCACCAAGCTTGAGAGATAGGTAATTATGTTACACTATCGCTTGTCAATACGGGAAAATATATCAATGAGGGATTTAAAAATGGAAATAAAGTAGCCAAAAAGCGCGACTCCTTAAGGCTTATGTTGAACGGCCGAAGATAAAATTCGTATGACAACAAAATTCCCAATTACGGAAGTAGATGAAAGAAAGAAATACGTATGGAACGAATAAGAAATGTTGGCGGTTGAGAGTGTCCTTACTTTGCCTTTGCGTTTCATTTCTGCTACGCTCGCGTATACCCTGCCGGTCTTTGCAGGCGAGGTAGGATGCGATTTGGTAGCCTGGCCAGTCTGAAAGTGAGAGCTCATCATGGACGAGCCGTACTGGCCACTGGCGCTACCTTGCTGCCGCTGAAACAGTTCCTGGAAAGAGAGTAAGGATGAAGCTGAAGCATCGGTTCGTTCCGTGCAGTTTTGCCATTCAGTAGGAAGGAAACAAGAAGCGCATCTCTCGTTCGTGATGTACATGTAACATGGTATCGAGCAAGTTGCTGCCGCTTTGGTTATATATAGTACCTCCAGTTCCGCGGCGGTGATCCTGCTCGAGGTAGGTCTGGATCGGATACTAGCCGTCCTCGGTTGGACCGGCGTGTTCTGACCGGTATTCGACCCGGTAGACGGTTGCTGAGGAAGATGAATCGATTCCGCGCTGCTCGATTTCGCTCCCGTTGACGTAATCTCGTCGCGGTCGTCCCTCTCGCCGCCACCTTCTGCATTTCACGCAATACATATTTATTTTCTCACCGATATGATCAAAATTTTAACTTGCACGATTCGCCTATCTATCGTTCGAATTACCTAATCCCGCGACCATGGATCGCGCCCGCGCTCGACCAACGCTAAGAGTAGTTTTCGGATCCCTTCGCGGTGGCATGGGTGCCGGCGACCTGCCAAGAGTGCCGCCGATCACCACGTTGTTGTTACCTTTACGCGGTAGCGTCGCGTATTGTCTCTGAATAGGTTGACTAGTTGGCAGTAGGGCCGCTGATTGCGAATTCGGGAGACTGATCATCGGCGAGACCACCGTCATTCTGACCAGTTGTCCGGACTTTCGTATCAGATCGACCACGCGCTCGTGCGACGCCGTCGTTACATCTTCGCCGTTGATCTAGGGAAAGGTATATCTCGCGAACGCTCGTTGAATTTTTAACTAAACAAAAGTAAGAAGATAAAAATTAATGTAGCTTACTTGGATAAGGAAGTCTCCTTTTCGGAGACCAGCCAGATCGGCTACTCCTCCTTGGTCGACATCGTCTAGGTATTGGAGGGCTGGGTACCTGGCTGATGGTGTCAATTCCATCAAAGACGATGTAGCCTTCGCACCTCGCAACACGAACCCGAAACCTTTACTAGATCGGTGCAGCACAACGGTACGAGGTTCAGACGTAACTCTGAAAAGTCGTTCGATGAAATAATGATTAATAAGGCTGTACAATCCGTAATGTCGTCGATTACAATTTATTTGTATCTGAAATGACTTTATACACTCACGGTTTCTTCAACCTGGGAGCGGTAGCAAAATATTTATGCTGCGACTCTCTACGCCCCAACACCCTGTTCCTGGCATCTCTGCCAGGCTGAGGACCCAATGGGATGTTCGTATGACGAAGTCTGACCTCTTGCACGCAATGCGCCGGAAACAGACCCGTACCCTGTCCCCGTAAAACTCCCTCGAGGAGCCCGCAATCCGTTGCCCCGGTAACTATCCAAAAAAAAAAATATCTATCAGATTCTCGACATTTAGGGACTAGACGAGTCACGCAACTTTTTTAATGTTCTTTTCTTTTTTCATTCTTTGACGTTTTTTTATCTAGCCCATTAACGTTCGCAACGATCCATAAAAATGGATGGCTCCTCGCTATTGCTCTGGCCAATGATAACCATGAAGCATAATTATGTCACAGTTGAAGAGGGTACTGATGATACGAGTACATAACAATGTTGGAATAAGTTTGAACAGGGTCCGTCATATTTATTTATCACAGATTTAATCTTATGCTCGATTTGGCGTCTTAACAATACGAGAGACCTGGGTGCGATAATGACCGTTTACCTTCCAAGATATCTCCCTGATTGATGTTCAGGTGTCCTAGAATCCCGCTATTGTAGCTCTCGACGCAGACGACAGTGGTGCCGGGGATCGAGAGAGAATTGGTGGTATCCGATTGCGAGGTTCCAACTCCGGAACTGTCGCTAATGACATCGGATGCTGTATCGCCCAGACTCTTGTCTATAAAAATTTACGGAACGAGGGTAGTACAGACGATCTTCCTCGCCGCTTCCGTTTCGGCTATAACGGACTAGAGTCTTGCAGCGGTGAACGTCGTGCAACGCTAGATCCTCCGATCGAACAAATACGTCGGAATTTAGCTGATCTTATCAGACCAAGAATCATAGCGTTTTAATTTCGCAATTGTAAAATACTTTAACTTTCTCAAGTCATAATTTTATTAATGAAGCTCGTACTGCGTTTGATTAAAAAACAATTTTAAAAATCCGATTGATCAGAACGATATATCGATTATGATTCTCGATCTCAGAGATGACTCTAGGTTGCTGATATTGCTTCCGCTAAAAGACGAATAGCACGTCGTGCTGTATAGACGGCAAAGTCTTAGCCGGTCCAGCATCGCGTACGTTTCGTTTCTGATGGTGATGGTTCCGACGTTCGAGTCACACGAGCCAAAATGACACAGATTATACCAGGTGTATATATGTACATCTCACTCTCCCATCTTCATTTTCTATTTGGTGTCCCAAAACGCATATACGAAATCCCATCGAGTTTCCGTAGAGTTTACGCATGTATGATGTTAATACCTGTGACGATGCTGGCGGAATCTTCGCCGGACGGTTGATTGCTGCCTTCGGACAGGCTCGAGCTAGCCGAGCTGAACGGAGCTAGGCTCCTGCTGCTCGGCGACGGCGACGGCGGCATCTCCATCGTTCTGTGCATGTCGAGACGGTGCTGGAGCTCGAGCCGGTGTTCTTGCAACCTCGTCAGACCCTCCATTCTAACGTTCTGATGATAGTTCTCCGCGTTGGCTGGTGGTAATCTTGAAATGGGAGCGGATATCGTATAGCGGCGTCGAACGGCGTTCGACCTGATATGATGCTCTCGACTGATTCTCACGAGATTAGCGTAAATTGTCTTTGCTTCAAAACACGGCCGCGTCGATCGGATTTAATCCGGCCCGTGATTCCCCCGTCCCACCCCCTCTCTCCACGATCGTCTTATCAATCGAGTTCCGCGGGGATTAGCAAAGATATCGAAAAAAACTGGATGAACCGACTTCCTCAATAAGGCCACATTAATCGAAGAGACTGGGTTCAATAATACGTCGAAGTGTGCTAATCTTGCCTATTCCATTCCAGTCTCGAAAGTCAGCACCACTGATACGACGTTCTTGCTCTTATTGTACGTTGTTTCAAACGATAAGATGGATCAGCCTCACAGTGATTAAATACCAAGTAATTGAAGGCAATCGGTGATGAAATAATGATATCGTATCAGAGATGGGAATACGCCGTCTGTTCTTGGGAGACAAGTGGTGTTGACACAATCAGCGCACCTCGACGATATTCGAAAGCAACCGGATTTTCGCAAGAGGGATTCAGCAAAGACAGTTTATGCTTACCTCGCGTTAGGGTCCCTGAGGGAATTCGGGCTCTGGTAGTCCGAGGTAATCCGATGATGGTGCCCGTTCTGCTCGGCGGATCTGCCGGCTACGTGCTGCTCGGACGGTATTCTCTGTAGCTCGTTTCTGCTCGCGTCGATGGACGGTACTCTGGCTAGGCTCGCGATACTATTCGCGTACTGCTCTTGGGACGGCACTCTGGTTAGGCTCGCGATACTGTTCGCGTACTGCTCTTGGGACGGCACTCTGGTCAGCGTAGCGCACTGCTCTTGGGACGGCACTCGGGTCAGGGTGCCGGTGCCGCTCGGAGAATATTGCTCGGACACCCTGATCATGCTCGCGGTCCCAGTTATGGGACTACCGACGGCGTATTGTTCTCCGGACGGTGTTACTCTGTTCAGAGTGCCGATGGATGGATACTGTTGCTCCGTGGACGGTACTCGGCTTGCGTATTGCTCCGCGGACGGCACTCTCGTTACCGCGTTCACCGTCGACGTGTACTGCTCCACCGAGATGGTTCTGGTCAGGGTACCAACGACACCAGCCCCGGTGGACGATCCTTGCTGCTGTTCCGTGGACGGTATCCTGGTCAGGGTGCCCAGGTTACTGGCCGAGCAGCTCGTGGTCATCGTGGACGGACCGCCGAAGGCCACTGAGCGTCGCTTCGGGTTGTAGCGTGGAGGGCCTTTAAACGGTACTGGAAAATGCGAGGGTTGCAAGGTTAAGTAAAGAAAGGATTACTTAGCCTTACAAGTAGGCGCCGACGCTCTCCGAAGGTGTGCGCCTTCTTTTCGAGCGACTTTCTCTCTCATAACTTTATCCGATTCCGTTCCCGCGATCGATCTCATGACTATAGGCATATGAAAACAGACCGAGCGTCCAAATGGGAGATTTGAACCCACGCGATTAAACGGAAGAAAATGAATTGAAGAGTTTCCTCTATAAGAGGGAGAGACAGAAACTCGTCCAAAGCATGTTTTCCAGAATCCGGTCAGATCGTAATTTCAATTCGATATAATTTCAAATCAGGCAAGAACTTTCGCGCTGATCAAATACGTTGGACGCTCTGTCTATTCTCCTATGTCTTTGCTTACGACACGGATTCCGAGTATCCCTGGCAAACATTTTAATCATTTTTATCAAGTGCTTTCTCTTTGTGCTTTATAGAGCGTGCTTCAAGTTTGTTGCCCCGATGCGGTTCGTACCGGCGCATCGCTCGGTCTTTTTCGAAAAAAGTTAAGTGATCATCATTATTATTCGACGTGTTAACAGAAGTTTAAAAGCGGAGTTTGTTACAAGCTGCCGCGGTGAGGACACACGCACGCACGCACACACGCGCACGTAGACAAAACGTTACATCGGCAGGTGAATCGGCACGCGTGTAAATATACTTATATATCGAAACAACGACGGTCAGGCGATAATTACCCTCTGTAAATTACAAGAAAGCGGTGAAGAAAAGCACACGCAAGAGTCACGCACTCGACGCGGTTTTATACTTGTATCCGTTTTGTACGATACAATGTTATGTGCCACTTGTTCGTTACTTCCTTGACTCAGAGAATACAACACATGTGCATCGGTGATCCACGAGGATTCACCGTCGGCGGGCCTCTGGAGTTCGAAAACGGGCGTTTCGTGCCTTTCTCCAATTCTTTTTCTTAATCAGAACTCCAACAGCCCGCGACGGTGCAGGTAAACTCACAAAGTACGTTGAAACTACCAAACCATTACTAATCAACAGTTTTCCCGCAATTTCGATGCTGCCGGATTCCTTCGTAGAACTTTATAATCGTATCGTCCCTGAGACGTTCAGCTCCTGATTCCGACAGCAACGATATTGCTCGGCGATCAAAAGATACGGCATCATTAGTACAGTTACTCAAAAGCAATCAAAAGTTCAGTCGTTACTTCTCGTTATATAAATGTGGATATATATTGTTACAGAGATACTCGACGTCTTACAAGACCATCACCACCACAAATAATTCCACCGGACTTTTACAATTTCATATGTACTTCTTTTCATACAGCAGAGACACAAATATACACGCACAATTATGGTATACGTAAATGTACACGTATATATATATGTATATAGATAGATAGATATTTACACTGGTCGACTAACTAATGGCTCGCTAAACACTATACTATCACTACTGGCTACTTGGCAAGCGCAAAGCGTATTCGTCTTGGGCTCTTAGGAAATAAGAAAAAAAAAAGATTTAAGCGTTCTACTTGCATGCACATGCCTGACTGTTACTCGTGACGTGCTCGAGAATAGATTCGACCGAAAACCGCGATTATGGTTTATCAGATAAACGATATTTTCACCTGATAAACAATACAGCGACGTAACGCGAACGCGTGTCCACGAATCGCGTTATCTCTGACGCTCGTCTATCTACCTTTGATCGTTCATTGTCATACTTTTCAAGAATTAGACAAAGCATTTACGTACATGATTAGTCATAACGATTTCCGTTTGTTACCACATTTTGTTGATTAATTGTTACGATGCAACATAATCGTATCTGACGAATTTAGATCATAAGGTAGCAACGGTGATCAAGTACTATGAAATGCATTGCATTTAGGTCGATACTTTTGTCAATAGGAATTAATATTCGTTCGTTTAATTGTAAAAATAGATTGGATTCATTCGTCTAATATTCGTCGTTTCGCGGATTTTTTTGACGGGCACTCACCGACTTCCTCCGGCTGATAATTCTTGATCACCTCGGCCAGCTCCATGTTCCCGGCGATCACGGCGACCTGGTACGGGGTTTGGTTTGCGTAATTCAACGCGTCCTTCTGCGCTCCCCTGAACAGCAACTGGCGTATACAAGACGAGTCGGTGTTGTTCACTGCGCAAACGTGCAACGGCGTATTACCGGACGCGTTACGCGCGTTCATGTCGGCGCCGTAAAACAGCAAATGATCCAGGTGCTGGACCAAGTTGTTGCGGCAGGCCTGTGAACATCCGAACGACCGCTATCGATTATCGAAGGGGACGCGCGAGACGATTATAATTAAACCGCGCTTCTCTACGTTCCCCTGTCCTTTAAAATCCCAACCCCCGCACGCGACTCTTGCCTCCAACCTATCGGAACATACTGCTTATCGAATAACTCAACTGTACTGCCTCTGAATGGGTTTACAGCTATTGATCTTGAACCCTCGACCCCTTTATGGAACGCGACCAATCGATTGCATATAGACGTTTAACGTCAGATTTAGAAAACGAATCATAACAACGAGAGATCCACCTGATGCACTTCGTGCCAGCCCTGCAGGTCCTGGGCACCAATCGTCGCGTGATCGTGAAGCAGCGTCTCGCACAGCATCGGATCCGTCTTATGGATCACGCTGTAATACAACGGCGTCAAACCCTTGGTGTCCTTGTAGTTCGGGCTGGCGCCCAGCTCCAGCAACGTTTTCACCGCTTCCAGGCTGTTGCGTTCGACGGCTAGGTGCATCGCCGTCAGACCTTCCTTCGTTCGATAGTCGAGCAACGCGCCGCCGTTCACCAACGCTATTATCACCTTCGACGGTTTCTTCAGTGTCGAGGCCAGGGTCAGCGGAGTCTCTGTAAAAACGACAGACGACCTTTTGCGGTATGCGTAGTACACGTGTACGCGTATGTAGAGTGTCCGGGGGCATGTTTAACGGGACGCTAGAGATCCGATAATCGTTCGCGAAGACCTCGAGATTGCCGATCTCGCCTGCCCCGGGCGACGTAACGCGATTATTCTACAATTAGTCGAACAGCTGCTTGCCGAATATACAGTTAGCTAAACTGCAGAGTTTATGCATGGTATTCTCATTGTTCCGAGGAATTTTATTATTATTTATAATAAGCTGACATGAAACTGAGAAAAAACTTAATCGATTTTATTATGTAAGATGTGCGTACAATTTTTGGAATTGTGAGTACTTCAATTTTTGTTCCATTCATCGATGCAGTGACAAAATTTATGAGTACGAGTACTGTGGGTTCGTTGAGGTACAAAACGATTGGCAAGGTAACAAGAAAAACTCAGAAGTTATTCTTTCCATGGAAAGATTGGTCGTTTCTATAGGAAGGATCTACGAGTGGAAGTGAGGGACTCGTAATTTCGATCTGATCGCTAATAGAAGTTGAACGGCTGTGAAAAATTGATGATCGGTATTTACCTCCGGTTTCCTGGCAGTGAAAGTTAGGATCGAGACCTTTGCTGCACATCTTGGCGATCTTCTCGACCTGGCTATTCGCGACGTACTCTAGTAACCTGCGCAGATTCGTCTTCGTGTGCATCGCCTTCAATTGTTTCTCGTCCAGGTGCAGCATCTTGTAGACCCGCCGTTTGTATTTCAGCTATAAAGTTCGACAGGGACGCATTACTGCCTTAACTTGTTCGACGAAACAGTTGAGACTTATGGTATCCGAAAACCCTCGATCGCAGACAAGCGAATACTTTGGGAACACAATAAATAGCTAGGGGCTAAACGTATAAAATTATCCTGGCTGTAAAGGGGATTCACCCGGCCAGCTTCTTTGTAATTATCGGTGGCATCGTGCATCATGGCGTTAGGTTACTGACGGATGGCCAGTATTCGCGGCTAGGGTCGCTCGTTAACGACTACCGTTAACAGTAATTACGATTATCAAGCGAATCGAAGTTGGGATGCAAATTAGAGACAGGCTCCCTGTTTCCTTTCTTTCTCACTCCCCTATTGTCGATCTTCGCATATTTTTTCAACAGCTTGATAACAATTAGACCAAAAAACAGTTTTTCTTCTAACGAATTTAATTACAGTTCTCCCCATCTTTAATATCGAATGGAAAAGCGTGTTAAAGAGATTTGAGCAAAGAGAGCCATGCGTCGTATCATGTACGGTCTTAGATACGCTTAACGGTGTATTGCTTCTTGAACAGAGATTACACGTCTCGTCTAGACTTTTCCTTCCTTTCTATGCGATGGATCGCACCGTGACTACTCGGGGCTCGCTTGCTCAACGACGCTTAATCACGTTATTACGAAGCCAATACTTTTATTAGGGCCCTTGTTGCGCGCGTTTAATTACGGCGACGTGGTTTCGCGTCCCGGCTCCCTAACTCGATACGCATGTAATCGCGTAGACGCAGGTATATACGTAGGCACTGGGCCGATTAAACCACGGCAGTACACAGCTCGTTAATTGCATCGCGTTTAATAATAACCAGACGAGGTGAACCATCCCTCGCTTAGAATAACGAAAAATTATTTTTCTCTCTTCTGCGATGCTCATACAAAATTAAGGAGAAATAGAGCTATCCGTTAGGAACAGAATTCTCGACGATTTTCAGGGGATCGTAAGGAAATGGTGAAACTGTGAAAATTGAAATGTTCAGAAATTTTATTTTTTCTCGCAAGAGGATGAGCGGCGTTGGTAACTAGTCGTAGCACGGCGTCCGTGAGTCAGCTCGTCCCTGAAAGTGAATCTCGCGTGACGAGATCGAGCGTGCGCGGCTCTTGCTGGCTCGCGCGCGATCGATGAGCAGCAACAAGAAAAGAAGAGGAAAAAAAAAAAAATGGAAACGAAAGAAAAGAACCCTGTTGCGAATACCGATGGTACCGAATAACCGGTGATCTATGGGCCTGTCTAACCTCGCGTATTTATTCTCATCCAGGGCCCGCTAGGGCCGCGTTATTGCTCGCTACGCGCCACCAGAAAAAGTAAAACACGCTTGAACCGTGTACCATCTGCGGACGTTCCGCAGTTTATCTACATCCACCGGCTCGACGTTGAAATATTTCGCGAAACGGACGGGGTTGAAAATCTCCCCCTGGTAGGCTCAAGGTCGCGCGGTGAAAAAGAAACACCCGAGGCCGACGCGATGGGAAGCTCCTTCCCGTCACCTCGACCCGAAAAATTCAAGATGCGCCGCGTTAATTATGCAATGACCCGTCCAAGGTACGAGAGAACGACTCCGAGAAGAGGGAACACGCTTTATCTACGACTGCCGCGAGATGGTGAATGAAATCGCCTCAGGAGAAGTGGATCGATTCCGGAAAATGAACAGTCTTGAATCGATATCGCGTCACGTTGGTGGAGACGAGATACGAGAAAGAAGAAGAAGAACGCGGATCAGATGGGAACTAGATCCGGTTACGCAAGAAAACCGCGAGTCAAGATCCAGATCTCGTTAACTGACCGCGGGATTATGTTTGCTTTTTGCGAATCACCGTTCGTACGGTCATTCCGATAGAAGGATATCTGAACGATGAAGGAAGGGATGAAAATAGTTTTGTCGCTTGTCGTCCATTCTATTTCTAATCCCTTCAAACTATTGGGTAAATTTCTAGGTAAATAATGAATATTTTGTCGTTGGTATTGGAAATACAGAGTCAGGAGTCACAGAGAGAGGCTAATAGGCTAATTTGAATTTTCATCCCTGACCTCAACGAGGAATAATCGCCGCGAGGGCGTTTGAATGCAGCGAACGGACTCGAATGGACGCATTGACGTGAACGAAAAGGGTTATTTCAGGTATGAGATTGCCTGGGCCCATTGACGTCCGGTGGCACGTCAAAGGGGGCAAGAAGGAAAGAATCGGGAAAGAGTTTGCTCGAGGAACCAGCGCCCCTTGGCGATATCAAGGGGTTTGCGCAGAGAACAGAGCGGTTTCTCCGCTCGGGTCAAGGAGGGTAGTTATTTTTACGGTGCCGCCTTTTTTTATTCGCTGGCGAACGATCCGCGAGAAAACATTATATGATACGTGCAACTAGGGAGCGTATCATCGTCCTCGACGGACGGCGAACGGAGAAAGAAAGGTTATGGTGTGACCGTGAGAAGGAAAAACGAGGCGACCACACGCGGTACGAATTCATTGGAAGCGCGGCCGATCTCGGTTTTTCGACGAAATAATTATCATACACCATCGATCATTCTCTCGATGAAAAGCGCCACTCGACGGGCATGTCGGCTACGCCTGTTCTTTCGAAGCCTTCAGAATGCGAACCGAAGGGGAACGTCGATCTCGAGAACAAAAACGAATACCTGCTTAAGGACACTGCGAGATGCAGCAGTGCCTCAAGTCAATCATTACTGATCCCTGCTCGAGCGAACGAAATCAATTAATATTTGAAAATTCCACTGTCGCGTTGCAACAGTTCTACCTTCTGCGAACGTATGGAAATTCTGGCACAGAATTCAAATGAAACAAAAGAAAAAACGTCTTACCTCCAAGTATCCGACAGGTCCATTGAAGGGGTAATCGCCTAGACGACGTTCCTCGTCCAAGAATTTTCCGGCTTTTCCATTTACGGGCGGACAGAACAATCCATAATTGAAGCTTTCCTTCAGCTCCTGCAAACCATCACACAAATCCGGGATTAATCAAAATCTCGCACCGCTGTTACATTGACCCGCCACCCCGTTTCTACTAAACACGTAACTACTATCATTCATGCAACAAGAAGGACGTATCGTGGAGCCAAATAGGAAATTGGTCGTAAAAGGTTCCTTCGCTTCTAATGGAAGCTAAGACGTGATAGGAAAAGGTACACCTATTGTTACTAGTTAATAAAACGCATTTTGTATGTAACAAGAGTCACATAAATATTACAAATGTTTCACATAGAAGTGGTCAGGTTTAAAGAATACTCATTTTTATTAAAACTGTTTAGATTTCTTATCCGACTTATCCCTATGCTTTATAGTCGCATGAATATCAGATTTTTTTTTTATATATACGAGCCCTTTAATGTATCCTAGAATTTATAAATGAAGGCGTAGTCCTTTCTCTCGCGGTACACCACGGACTTCCTTTACTCTTTCTTACTGTACGTTATTCTCACGCACCGCGTTTCCGCGGTGATTTATCCGAAGGACCGCGAAACTGCTCGCCGTGATGCGATCGTTAATCTTTTGAAGAAGTGGAATACGCGAGGGGTGGCGAGGTCACGTTGTGGCACAGTATGCGAAAAGCCAGTCGCCGTGAAAAACGAAAGTCGAGTAGCGCAGCGGCCGGCCGACCGGGACGTTGTTAAAGCAAATGAATGGCCCGGTTTCGCGTGGCGAAAAACCGGGTCAAACGTTGAGCCACTCTCATTCGTTAAACGAATGAATCGACATCGAATCCGCTTGACGAACGATCGCGAACTAACGAGGGTCAACCGAGCGTCCGTCTATGAATCATTTGCTCGTCGACGAAATTCACGATTTATCGTCTGTAATTAATAAAGAGCGAACGCTCTCGCAGTTTCGATGTAACGACAAACAACGTTTCTGCAAAAGTAATAGCAACAAGTTACGGAATGGCGTGTGCCTTCTATCCGTGGGATTCAATAAGCTGATTACGAAGAAAGTTGGACTCGTGGTGTTCGGAAGCGCGTCCGAGTGACAGAGGGAATGGAATTACAGTAAATTAGCGAGTCGCAGTTCCATCTCTCAATTTCACGTCGAAAGGCCACCTCGCACGGAACTCGCGTGCTGAACGCGAGCCGAGGGACGCGTTCAACTTGTCGGAAATGTTTCGTTCCGATGGAAAGTTGCCCACAGCGCGAAAAACGGGCACGAAGAAGCGAAACACGTGCCGGGCGCATCGAATACGCGATACACTACCGTCCACAAGTATGAACTTTTAACTTCTTACAACTCTTAGTAAAAAGTAAATTAAGGCTGGTCAGAATTCTGGTAAAAACGTTCTAATTGACAGAACCGATGAAAAATGACATGAGTAATAACACAAATTTGTCACATGAAAAGTTCATATTTACATATAACACCTTCTAATGAAACGATTGAATAACTCGATCAAATGATTGTGTTAATTAAATCTTTCCGTGCATAGCAATTATTGCTCAAGTATATTGTATCAATGATACAATTTTCTCACAAATTCGAATACAACTTTGAACTTTTTCCCTCAAGAACACATGCGAACTTCAGTTTACTTCTCTAAGAACTCTTTCTACAAATCTCCATTCGGCTACTGACTCCACACCTTCATTAAACGTCTGGAAACTTATGGACGTTAGTGTACATACGTGTACACACGAGCCCACTGCATTACCACCGTTTACCGCAAAAACCGACGGAAGAGCGTGCACACGGATCCATGGGACGAAGGGGAAGAGAGAGAGAGAAAGAAAGAGCGAGCCGCCCAACAATCATGGCAACAATAGCCAAGAGTAGAACACGTGCCAAATTAAAGGCCTCGAACCCAAAGTACCGAGAGAGGTGCGCGAGCGTGTCTGCTCCCCCGTTTAAAAACGTCTCTGATGTATCCACCTAGGGGGTGGGTGTGGCCGGGAATCAGCCTTGAAAAAAACCACCGAAAAGGAAGAGAAACGGCCGAGCACAAAGTTGAGAGACAAAGCATGAACGATCTCACTGGCTGGATGATGCGAAGCCCCCTTTTTCGCCGCCTTTACTCGAGTTTTTACGCGTTCTAACAATATTACATGCGCGACTGGCCCCGCAATACCGGATAATGTGGCTGCGTCAATTGTGTGTCAACACGGTTAATGCCGGATAATCTGCGATCCACAGGGTTCCGTGAACCGCGATAATTTAACACAACAGAAACCTCCTGAATTTTTACTATAATATAATTCTTTACTTAATTCTTTCCTCTGATGAATCTTCCAAGTAATAATTAAGATAGTAGAAATTGATTCTGTTGTTAATTAATCAACCTTGTCGACTCGATGCCAAGGATTATGCTAACGCAAGCTGGAGGCAGCTCGAAATCGTTAAGGATCTTGGCGTAAGAAAAGAGGATTCGATTCGGACGTTCGTTAAATCCCGCGTTTGTTAGCGAGAACTCGATTGTCGCTGCCGAGTAAACAGTCGCGCGAAGAGTAATTTCTTTCCACCCCGGGGAAAGAAAATCTCCTGAAGGACTCGAGGGAAAGAGCGGCGGACGGGAAACAGAACGAGAATGTCTTTTTTAGTCGTTGGGACGACGTGCAAGAGGAAAGGCAAATGTTTATCTTGCCTGGTACGTTTAACGACGCGCCTAAATCTCTGTATTCTTCTGCATTTCTCTTGTTATATTCATCTGGAAAACAGTACTTCCACTTTGAAAAATGCTCGGGTACTTTGCAAAATATTGTGCACGATTCGACTTCGTTAAATTTTCATTTCCACGAATGGTCAACAGCGATGCATCATTAAATAACGCAAATTGCATTGCCACGTGCACCATTTGCAACCTTTGTCGTCATTTGAGGTACACAATAATTGTAGTAATTAGAGTGTCACGTCAGAGCTATAAATTTCACTTGAACAAATTTCATACACGTTCATAGTTATTTTCTTTTCTAATAAATCATTCATGTCAACCGTCGACGTCAATTTGACCGTCTATTATCTCCACACCTGATGAAGCGCTACAACATTCTCGAACCGACAGGATTAACTAACCAACGCGTTAAATAATTAGGGTTTATACCCGTTCCGGTTGATAAATCGGCCGAAATCCGCTTGGTGGGCTTCGCTGAATCCTCTCTCGCCTAAATCACCCACCTTGTTCCCTTCCCCGACCTCCTTTTTTCCCAGCCGTTCAACTTCATCATCTCAGCTGCGGGAAGTTTAAGATGTTTTGTCGATCCCGCAGAACTCAAACGAAATCGAAGTTACGGGACAGGACGAAAGTAAGAAGTATCGCGTGCTGCTTCCCCCCGTACGCAAAAATGGGTCGAATCTAATTAGTACCACAGTAATTACTTCGCGAAGAGCTTAAGAAGCCGCACGACTGCGGAACGTGTCTCGTTAATTAAGCTAAGAATTGACTAGAAAGAAACTCTTATTCATTTGTTTATGCGTGACTACATATTTTGGAATTCTTGTTTTTCGTACTTCTGGTCATAATAATACAGCAGAGATATGTCTTCTTTATTAAATGAAGAAAGTAACATAAAATTTAACGGGAAATGCAAGTATTGTGAAATGTCAAATGCTAGTTCCATTTTTCTATGAGAAACAAATCGACAGTATGCCTCAACGTACATACATATGTACGTGGAGTTGCAAAAGATTCACGATCGCGTATAGAAAGGTACACGCGGACAATTTATCTTACCGCGGTATTACTCAATGAACGGATTGCGAAACTTTTTTTCTCGGTCCTCCGGAATATCAACAAATACGCACCGCGAGGATCGTAACCCTACGTCTTTGGAGTGAAAGTCGGTCTCGCCGTTCGTTTTCGCTTCTCTTTTTTTCCATCTCCTGTGCCTGTTCACGGCATCATTCGCTTTTCGGGATGAACTGCAACCCTCGTCCTCCTTCGTTCGGTTAATAGCTGAACCCAGTAAACGATTTTTCAAATCCCGAGTCCATAGAATCTCCTCTGTATCAATTTACAGCTTCTTGAATGTCTTAATCGATAACGATACAGTTTGCATTATGTATAGAAAGATGAATAAAACGGAAGACGGTGGAAGGGAACTTTGAATTTTTCACGAGCGAGCCGAGAATACGTATCCGCGGAGATTCGAAGAGGGAGGTCTGCCGTCGACTACCCTGGGGCGATCGGGGCAAAGAACAACGACGGTGTCGTCCGCAATTACGGTGAAAACGATTCTGAACGCCTCGACGTCTCGCATATTTTTTTCTCTGAGAAAAAAGGAGACAGCGAGAGAGAGAGAGGAGCACGTGTGTGCGTATATAAATTCCGTGTGCGCGCGCGGGGGGGCACGTTAAACGGCGAGACCCTTTTGTACGGCCCTGTATGGGAGAATAATGGTCGAACCGTGTCTCAATCGTGCTTTATGGGATGTAATTGCGGTCTGGCAAGGGGCCTTGCCGATGTTAAGTTCGTATACACGCGAGACGGGAAGGGAACGGTCCAGATAGAAGAAGCGTTACGGTTTCAGCCTTCGCAACGAGCCACGAAACGAGTTTTCCCCGTTGACGAACCGACGACGCGACGCGAGGCTCGTCGCGCGAATTCGACACCGGACGAAGGATCGACGCTCTTTTTCTCCTCCACGGGGTCGTCATCCTCGAGTATTTTTACCCAAACGACGACGCCCGCCACCGCGTTTAATTAACGGCGACTCCGTGAGACTCTACAAATCCGTAGAGCAAACACGCGAATTTCGTCGTCAACCGTGGCCCGGTCAATTATCAACTTCCACGAACTCGAACTTCGAGAGAAGAACGGAAACGCAAATCGGCCGGCTGAACGAATCCGAGGTGGAGGACAAATGGCAGGACATCGTAAAGCGTCCGGAGGCACACGTGTTACGAAACGACACGCGGCTCGTAAACGCGCCGCGATGCAACGGGATTGCGAAATCCAGGAATTCATAAAACGTCGATGGATCGACGTAACGGGTAAAATCGGCTCATCCGTC